ATACATGTACTTACATGTATTTTTGTATAACCAGGAGTTGAGGGGACCATAGACACTTCTGGAAGCCCATCCTGGGTCCTGAGGTGAAGGACGCCTGCCCTAAATGATGACCAGCCCTTTTAGTCTTTGCGTCTGCAGTTTGTTGACCAGTGATCTAGCATACCCAAGTGCAGGTGTACCTAGAAGTTTGCTAGGGGAGGTCTGAGGTGAGGCGAGCAGTTGGGGTGTAGGACACAATCTCTGTCTTTTGGCACTCCAGACCTAGTTTTGAAGGGAAGATAAACTCTGAGATATAATACCTATAAAGGTGTGGCTTGAGGATTCAATGACATAGCCAGACACTCGGCACTATGTATGGTCAGAGCAGTGTGCTGTGACATCAACAAGGCTTTCTCTAGGAGAGTAACTGGGCCTTTAAACAGAGTGATCATATAACTTATCACCCAAATTGGGACATTTAAGAATGAAAGGTAGCACTATTATTAATTATCCCAAAAGAAGAGATGTAGACTGGAACTGTCCCACACAAACTGTGATGGATGGTTGCAAGCCTTAAAGGAACGGTGAAGTGAAATTGAACAAAGAGTAAATCGGTTCGTGGAGGGTCGTGGTGGGGTGTAAATGATGCCCAGGAGTCTAGAGGATATAAGCAAGAGCTGAAGGCAGCACTCCTGTTAGGAGTTCAGAAGAGAAGAGCTCAGTCCTCACCATGGCTCTGCTAAGCACTACCTGGGGACTCATGGACTAATCGGTCAAGTTTTCTAGCATCAATTCATTAACTCCCAAGTGGACATAATCCTCTTAGCAAAGACTCCACTGGCTTGTCACAACCCCCATTCTCCCCCAAAAAATTGTTTAAGGGATAATGCATAAGTTTCTTTGAACCTCAGGGCAACTGCATGAGATAACCACAACCAAGATTATTCGTCCCACTGTTCTGGTGGTAAAGTGGTTGGCATAACCAGAATGTGGTCCACAGGGACCTAGTCCACAGGCTCTGACTTCCCAACATCCAGTGAGCACTGAGGAGGAGAGGCTCAGAGAACAGATCACAGCCACACAGAGGTTACAGAAGCCCTGGGTCCAGAGCAGCAACACTGCCTCCCCAGGGATGGGGGCGGAGGAGTCCTAAGGATGAGAGAAACACTAACCAGCACACTCATGGCATCAGAGAGGAAAAGAAAAGTTATGCTTCAGCATCTCATGGGCGGCAGACTCTGAGGTGGCACCCAATAGCATTTACAGGAAACCCACGGTTAAATCTCCATCTTTCACAGAGGGGCTGGCAGGCACCAGGTTGGCAGCGGGAGTTCCAGAAGGCAGGAACTAAGGGGAAGCTCCAGGCCTCCACCAGTGTGACCTCAGTCACCCTGGGATGGGAGAGTGGGCAGATGAGCTTCAGAGGCTCAGCCCTGGGAGATAGGAGAGCATTTTCCAGATTTGCCCAAAGTGTATATTTTTGAGAAGCTTCATCCTCTGACTATGAGTCCAAACTGTCCACATAAATGGTTTGGAGCTGAGCCATTCTCTTGACCTTCCTTTGCTCTGCCGTCATGGAAGGCTGGTTCTGGGAGGCTCCTTTCCCATGCTTTCACTCATTTCAGTGTGTGTAAGCCTTGGCTTCTCCAACTAGACAGTAAGAGCCTTCAGCTGCCCCAGGCCTCCCATGACTCTGTGAATCCTGAATCAGGAGCCATAAGCTCTGAGTCTCATAATGCTATTCATCAAATGGGCAAGGTAACATCTGCTCTTGCTACTCACTTTTTTTAAATGAACACCAGATAAGCAGCTTCTGGTGATGACACTGTGACATTGGAGAGACAGCAACTGGTTTCAACTGCCTTTAAGACTAATTCTAGGCATCTATTTTTTT